TGTACAGAGAGGCCATAAGACACTACACAGCCGTTAAGAAGAACGAGACCACTCTGTACGTGCTGTTACATTCTCTACTTTGTTAAGTGAAAAAAGGCAAATATAGAAATGCTGGTCGTGGAAAACATACAATCTGTCTTAGCTCTCTAGTGCTGCTGTAACAGGAAAAGCCACAAGTGGGTGGCTTTAACAAACAAATTAATTTTTCACAGTTTACGAGGCTAGAAGTGTAAATTCAGGGGAAGGCTTCCTCTGTCAGCTCTGGAGGAAGGTCCTTGTCTCTTCAGCTTCTGCCTCCTGGTTCCCTGGAGATCTCCATGAGGCTTGCATCTATTCTTTCCCCATCTCTCTCTCTGCTAGCTTGTTTAATCTCTTTCTATCTCGCAAAAGAGACTGACTCAAGATGCACCCTACACTGATCTTGTCTCATTGATATAACAAAGACAACCCATTCCCAAATGGGATTATAACCACAGGCATAGAGGTTAGGATTTATAACATATTTTTGGGGACGTAATTCAGTCCTTAACAGTCTATACAAATATGCATAGAATCACTTTAGGAAGGATTCACAAAAAGTGGGTCGTGGTGGTTGCCTCTGGGATGGGAAACGTGGTGGCCGGAAATAACGGTGGGAGGAAGCATTTACTCTTTATTCCTGAAGTTTCTGCCACATCAGCTGTTTCTGTTGTAATGCGAAGCAAAGACAGGAGGGAGGGAGGAGGAAGCAAGGTCAGTTCAGGTTTGGGACCCCTCCAGCTTTAAAAGTTAGTAAATGCTAAGTTGGGTGCTGTATCTTTAGACCTGACTGACTTACACAGGTTATAAAACTGTTTTCAAGACCTGAGATTTTCCTTTGAATGGTCTGTTTAATAAAAAAAAAAAAAAAAGCATTAGAGTTTACACCTGTACTATTTCTCATGAATAGTGATGAAGAAGAGGTGCAATAAAAGACAGGCAAACTTTACTCATAAACACTTGCTGTCCCATGGATATCGGGGAGAACTTTCGTGTTTTATACAAACACAAGACTTCTTATTTGGAGAAAAAGCTATCTTGGCCCGTTTTAAGTTCACAGTGACAGGTCAGTGTTTAAACAGTGATTTCCAGGTATGTTCACTTCCATGTTACTCTCACGAGAGCCTATATGCCAAGGAGCCCAATCAGCTGCTATTTAGGGGGCCTTATCACATTGTACATTTTGTTGAAGTATCTACAACAACTAAGTCACGTGAATGTAGGTTGTGGACTTTATTTTTAACAAACATTTACACAGACAATAAATGGAGAAAGCATTACGGTTCAAGGTGAGGCTAGCATTTACAAAGTGACTTCTGGGGAGTGTGCTCACCGCTGTTATTTTCGTGAACGCTTGTATTCTAAGAGCAGCACGATTAGCCTGTTACGCAGGGTCCTGATCTTGTTGGAATAGTGTTGCTGAAATATTTTCTTCAGCTTTTGCCTTAAAAAATCCAACGATGGAAGCTGATGACAGTCTGGTATATTCAACATGATGTGAAAAAATTCATTCCACATATCCAGGTGAGGAAGCCTGAAGAGACACAGCATACATAATGGATAGAATGTAGCCTTCAACATACACGGCCATACCGCCTCCACCGCTCCTACATCTGACTTCCATAGGCTTGGACAGTCTAATGTAACAACTCTCGACTAACTGCAACTTAAAATACCACAAATCAAGAATGGGAACATTGAATCTATTATAAATAAGAGAACCTAAGGATCCAATTAAATGTCTATACATATCTTGTTAAAAAAAAAAAAAAAGATTTATAGTCTTAACTGAAGCCACCCCTGGAGGTCATCTTTCAGTTAAACGACAGGCTGGCTCATAAAATAAACAATATTACCCATGAGTACCATGTTCCTTTAAATAATCATCTATATGAGACCGAACGGTCAATATTCACCCTAAAGCAAAGATGAGAAGGGGGAGCAGGGAAGCTAGATAATGGAAACAGAACAACCGAAATGGAAATAACGAGAATGCTGACACACTGTGAACAACGTAACCAACGTCACTGAACAATACGTACAGAAATTGTTAAATGGGAACCTAACTGGCTGTGTAAACCTTCACCAAAAATACAATAAAAAAGAATAAAACTTAAAAAAAACAAACATAGTCTTTTAGTAATGGCTCTTTGGTGGGAAAACTTTCTTAATTTTCTTTTCTTTTTTTTTTTTTTAAAGAAAATATATCTGCTAGCTGTACGTACGGCTAGAACTTGATAATCTGGCCAAATGGTTCTGAGCCTGACCGCCTATGTGCCAGGGCCAGGTGGACAGGCTGAGACCCAGAACAGAGCTCAAGCTTGAGCGCCAGCTACTGTAATTGTTAGATTAACTGTGAACAGCTGACAACACGGAGATGAGGCGCTGAGGACAAAGCTGAATGCAACTAAAGTTGGGCTCCAGACAGAAAACACAGCCGTCACTGGGCCGGCTGAGGTCACACTGGCGGGCACGCTGTAAGCCCATGGAGTCGGAAGACTTGCTGGAAAACAAACTGCCTGCTCCTTGGATTACGAGCAGGAGAAGGAATACAGCATATGCTGGATGTGATGACTTACCGGGCAGAGTACAGCATAGTGGTTACAACGTTGTCCTCCAGGCCTGATCCTAACCTATCTATGTACAGCATACTATATTTCATAAAATTATTCCTGGCTCTTTCATCTTTTTTTCTTTTTTGGGGGGTGGTGGTGAAAAGAGGAATATGCAGTTTAAAGTTATTTTGTATAAACATTTTAAAAATCCATCAGGCTGTATACTTAAGATGAGTATGTTCTGGTGTGTTTTTATCTTGTTAACTTTCCCTGTGATTCTGTAGATGAGGCAACGTCTCAGAGACACTAAAGTCACACAGTGCTGTGGCATACAGCCCTATTCTCTGAGAGCTAGCTAGCCACCTCATCATATCACTTTATAATTTACAAAGCACCTTCACATACGTGATTTCCTTTGCTTCTAATAATAAGCATTTGATGAAAGTAGGATCAGTATTATTCCCATTTATATAGACAGGACATGAACAAACCAACACCTGGGGCTCAGTGATCATTTGCTGACTTCTCTAAAGGGTAAAGGGAAACGCCTGACTGTATAGGATGCCGACCGCTGGGTCAGGAAGTCTTAATGACTCTGCGAGGCTCAGTGATCATTAGCTGACTTCTC